TTATATTTCACTTTAATGTCCGTGCACATGCACCTACACCCAGAATTGCTATAATCAGTATCAAATTTGATTGCTACAGTGGTATTTTTTATTTTTTATTTTTTTGAGACAGTCTCAAGCTATTGCCCTGTGTACAGTACTGTGGCATCATAGCTCACAGGAACTTCCAACTTGGGCTCAAGTGATCCTCATGCCTCAGTTTTTCTATTTTTAATAGAGATGGGGTCTTGTTTTTGCTCAGGCTGGTCTCGAACCTGTGAGCTCAAGCAATCCACCTGCCTCAGCGTCCTGGAGTACTAGGATTACAGGCGTGAGACACCGAACCTGGCCATTGTTTTATTTTTAAATGCAGGACTCTGAAACATGGGCTATTTCTCTTTACATGTATGACACTTAGATCTTTCAGATTATGTGATCTGTCAGTATAGAGTGGTGCTTAAGCACACAGACTTGTGAGTCAGGCCTAGCCTGGGCTCTGCTCACCAGTGGGATGTGTGTGTCTTCAGCTTTAGCTTGTCTGAGCCTCAATTGCTTCATTTGTAAATGAACCTAATAATAACGTCTGGGGCTGTCTTGAAGATGACACCGGATAATGCATGGAAGGTTCTTAGTACAATGACTGACACAGATTAGGAGCTAAAAAAAAAGTAGCTGCTATTGTTACTTTCAAATTGCCAGTTCTTTTTTTTTTTTTAAGAGACAGAGTCTTGCTGTGTTGCCCAGGCTGGAGTGCAGTGGCATGATTATAGCTCATTGTGACCTCAAATTTCTGGGGTCAGCTGATCCTCCCTCCTCAACCTCCTGAGACTGGGACTATAGGTGTGTGCCACCATACCTGGTGAACTTCTTTTACTTTTGTAGAGATGGGATCTCACTATGTTGCCCAGGCTAATCTCAAACTTCTGGCCTCAAGTGATCCTCCTGCTGCAGCCTCTTAAAGGTCTGGGATTACAGGCATGAGCTACCACAACTGGACCAGTTCTTTTCTTTCTTTCTTTCTTTTTTTTTTTTTTTTTGAGACAGAGCCTCAATCTGTCCCCCTGGGTACAGTGCTGTAGCATCACAGCTCACAGCAACCTCCAACTCCTGGGCTCAAGCGAGTCTCCTGCCTTTGCCTCCCAAGTAGCTGGGACCACAGGTGCCTGCCACAACACCCGGCTATTTTTTGGTTGCAGCTGTCATTGTTGTTTGGTGAGACTGGGCTGGATTCGAACCCACTACCTTAGGTGTATGTGGTTGGCACCTTAGCCACTTGAGCCACAGGCGCTGAGCCACTAGTTCTTTTCTTGACTCGACCTATTCCTGCCTTTCACAGAGATTATTTTAATAGCAAGACCCCACAAACCTCTTATCGCAACCTTGCGATTTTGGCTGAGTCAGTCCTCTTCTCTGTGCCTCAGTTTCCCCATCTATATAAGGACATACGGCTCATCTTTAAAGTTTTATACACTGTAGAAACTGAGTCCAGCGCTATACTGGTCCCTCTTCATCTTTGCCCATTGGTTCTGGAAGTTGCTGCCAGGCAAGGCCCTGGTGTTGTTCTGGGTGCCCATCGTACTGTTCTCTTGGGCACATGTCACTGCTTCTCTCCAGAAGCTGTGACACGCACCTCACCAGTCTTGTTACTATAGACACTTATGCAATGGCTCTGCTTTGGTACATGGTTCAGAAGCCTCCTAAGGGTTTTCAAACCCCCTTCTCCCACCTCATACATATCTATCGTGTAAAAGTAGCTGCTATTTTCTCAATCCTCTGCTGATTGCCTAGGTGATGTGAGGATGGAAAAAGCCTGGGCAGACTCTGGTTCACACCCTGGCTCTTCCTCTAACTCTGGTTACAACTTCAAATAGTTGACCTTGATCTCTCCGAGCCTCAGTTCCTCCTGTCAACTGGAAATGATGCTCCTCACTGCTGTCATTTATGAGCTCCTGGGCACTTTACCAGCATTTGCTTTTTTGATCCTCATAAGAACATTATTCATCCATCCATCCATCCATCTATCTGTTGAGTGCCTGCTAAGTGCCAGTCACTATTCTAGCTGTGGGGTGGGGAGAGAACAAAGCTGAGAGATTTGTTAGTCCTTAAAAGTTTATAGAAGAGGAAGCCCAGGGTGATTTAGGCTTGGCCACCTCATCCTGGTTTGCCTGGGACTCAGGCCCACTGACTTTCAGTACTGAAAAGTCTGCATCCTAGGAACACCCTCAGTTCTGGGCTCACTGGGGAGGTTACCCTCATTTAGTCAGGCTAAATGACTTGCCTAGGACCCCACAGCTGGTGGGTACCAGAGCCAGGCTGTGAACTTGGGTATGTCTGACCTACACTGCCTCCTGGATACATTACAAAGAATTGGAAAATGTAGGAAAGTCCTTTATTTTTCTGCCTTCTCATTGCTAATACAGGTGGTCAGCAGAATTATGCAGAGACAGTCAGAAGGCCCAGAGAGGGGAAGTAACTTGGCCAAGGTCACACAGCCAGCCAGAAGTGAGGTCTGGTCTGACTCGCCCTTCTTCCTCTCTCCTTCTGTGCATGCAGTGACCTTTTCCAATGTGATTTTCAAAGTGCTGGTGACAGAGAAGGCTGTTCTGTACTACTACAGAGGGCCTACTCTGTGCCAGGAACTTTGCTGAGCTTCTCATTTAATCCTCAGGATAACCCTAGTAATTAAATGAGATTAATTAGGTAATTAGGGTTACCACTGTTCTACATATGAGGAGATTGTGTCTTCAGAGGCAGTCTGAGGGGGGTGGGGAAAGGGTGGGGTCCCTGAGCGTGTCTGTGCCCCACTCCCCCAGTATCGAAGCTGGGAGGACAATTGTCCAGAGGACCCGATACCTTTCCTTTCATTGGTTCTATCACCAACTTGGCTTCCAAAACCACAACGGAATCCAGTTCTTGTGGGCTGGAGCCGTTTTCCCCTTTACAAAACTAGGCTATATTGAGAATGTCCTGCTGTTCAGGGCCACAGGCCCGAGAGTTGCCAGGAGCCAAGGTCTGTGTGAGCAGAGCTGTGAGTAAAGAGGAGGGAAAGTTGAATTTGGCCCTTCCGGGCACAAACAGTTCTCTTGTTCTGCCTCAGCGGGAGCCCGCAGCATATCTCTCTGCTGTGCAAGCACAAGCAGCTTCAAGGTCAAAAGCTACTAGGTCTTCTAAACTTCCAAGGGCCCAACCAGCTCAGCACCCAAGGCAGGCCGGGTTCTGTGCTGGAAAACCGAGTTCTGAGACCAGACAGGGTCTGACACGCATCTGCTAGCTGCCAGCCTAGCACGCAACGGAAATATAATACAGCAAGTATGCGTCACATTTATTTGAATAGAAATTTAATTCCAGCTGCACCACTTACTGGCTGTGTGACCTCAGGTAAGTCACTTCACCTCTCTGAGCCTCAGTTTCCTCATCTGTAAAGTGTTGGGAGACCTCAATGAATTGATGCACGTGAAACACTTGGTATAGGGTGGGCACACAGTAGACACTCCAGAAATGTCAGGAAATCACTCTTTTGCACTGGGTATCTGATTAAATTTTTCTATATTTGATATCTTGTTATATCTCCCATTGATCCTCTAACACAGTATTTTTTTTTCTTTTTTCTTGTTTTTTTTTTTTGAGACAGAGCCTCAAGCTGTCCCCCTGGGTAGAGTGCCGTGGCATTACAGCTCAC